TACGGAAGCTTCAGAGACATTGCAGCAATCCAGAGTCGCGGTAGATGGGAGCACCCACGCAGCGTTGCCAGGCATCGGAAGCCCGGCAAGCTTCTGCGCCAGACAAAGCACCTGGACCCACTCGCCGCCGCCGTTCGCCGCGCCGAGCAAGTCCTGAAGAGTCGGCTACTTCGTTATTGCTCGTGCCAGGGCTAAGCAGTTCGGGACTCTGCTCACGCAGCATGGGAAGCGTGCAGTCTCAGGTCCCGACGCTCGAGGTTGATTGCCTCTCGCCGCTGGACCGCCTGGAGCTCGCGCCTGACCAGCTCTGCATGCGTGCTGCTCGGTCCCAGGCCTTTGGACTGCATTCAGAGTTGTGAGATCTGGTCGGCGCGTCTTGCGCTTGGACGCCCCTGGCAGAAAGTGGAGAGATCGTCTTCTGGAGAGGGAGCGGGTGCAATTTGAAACGGCAAATCACACCCGCGACGGCTCGGCTAAGTGGAAAGTGGAGTGATCGTCTTCTGTCTGGTGTGCGCGGAGGCTGCAGTGGGAATTGTGAACAATCTATAATGACGATGAATGTTGTTGCATCAGAGCCCACCGTGCGCGAGAAGAATGCTGTGCAGCAGGTAGCGTTCCTCGCAACCGTCTGTGCTCAAGTCACCCTTAGATGCCATGCCCAAATGCCTGAATATGTCCTGTGACTTTTTGCCATACTTTCTTGAACCCTGGGGAAGTGTGCAATCTCAGGTCCCGACGCTCGAGGTTGATTGCCCGTCGCCGCTGGACCGCCTGGAGCGCACGTCTCGCCAGCCAGGCCAGAAGCTCTTTCCCATCAACCTCGCCACGTTCGAGGAGCAGGCGTCGCTCGCAGCCAACCGCCTTCGGCTGCAGAGGCTCCGGCTCGCTCCGCATTCAGCGAGGCACGGTGGCCCCAGCGAGAACTGCTACAGGAGCTTCAGAGACATTGCAGCAATCCAGAGTCGCGGTAGATGGGAGCACCCACGCAGCGTTGCCAGGCATCGGAAGCCCGGCAAGCTCCTGCGCCAGACAAAGCACCTGGACCCGCTCGCCGCCGCCGTTCGCCGCGCCGAGCAGGTCCTGAAGAGTCGGCTACTTCGTGATTGCTCGTGCCAGGGCTAAGCAGTTCGGGACTCTGCTCACGCAGCATGGGAAGCGCGCAGTCTCAGGTCCCGACGCTCGAGGTTGATTGCCTCTCGCCGCTGGACCGCCTGGAGCTCGCGCCTGACCAGCTCTGCATGCGTGCTGCTCGGTCCCAGGCCTTTGGACTGCATTCAGAGTTGTGAGATCTGGTCGGCACGTCTTGCGCTTGGACGCCCCTGGCAGAAAGTGGAGAGATCGTCTTCTGGAGAGGGAGCGGGTGCAATTTGAAACGGCAAATCACACCCGCGACGGCTCGGCTAAGTGGAAAGTGGAGTGATCGTCTTCTGTCTGGTGTGCGCGGAGGCTGCAGTGGGAATTGTGAACAATCTATAACGACGATGAATGTTGTTGCATCAGAGCCCACCGTGCGCGAGAAGAATGCTGTGCAGCAGGTAGCGTTCCTCGCAACCGTCTGTGCTCAAGTCACCCTTAGATGCCATGCCCAAATGCCTGAATATGTCCTGTGACTTTTTGCCATACTTTCTTGGACCCTGGGGGAAGTGTGCAATCTCAGGTCCCGACGCTCGAGGTTGATTGCCTGTCGCCGCTGGACCGCCTGGGGCTCGCGTCTCACCAGCTCTGCATGTGTGCTGGTCGGTCCCAGGCCTGTGGGCTGCACTCAGAGTTGTGAGATATGGTCGGCGCGTCTTGCGCTTGGACGCCCCTGGCAGAAAGTGGAGAGGTCGTCTTCTGGAGAGGGAGCGGGTGCAATTTGAAACGGCAAATCACACCCGCGACGGCTCGGCGAAGTGGAAAGTGGAATGATCGTCTTCTGTCTGGTGAGCGCGGAGGCTGCAGCGAAACTTGTATATATATATATATGCATATATATGTATATATATATATATATGTATACATATATATATATATATATTGCAGCAAGTTAACTGCACCACCTAACTCATACCCCATAAATCGGACGACATAGATTGATTCTCCTTTCTAAAAGGAGAATAGACTCTACCCCCCCCCCCCGGACTTATCCGTTCCCCTTTCGGGTATGTAAATCATATATGATTCTCACCACTCGTCCATCTTAAATATGAGATCATACTATCCCAGCTAGGCCGGGCTCCCCCCCCTGAGGTTCCCTTGTAAAAAACACTGTGCGGTGACATGTGTCGTTCTAACATTGAACTTTTTCACGAATCCTTTGCAAAAAATAGGACGAAGTGCACACGCGCGCGTCGTCGCGCGCGCATGCCGAAATCTTTCAAAAACTTTCGGTGCCGGAAAGATTGGGCAATCGAGTTTCCAAAAAACATAAAAACACAGGGTTTCGCAACACTGATTTGCTAAAAAAGTTTCCGCGCGAGCTCTTGCGAAATCTTAAGAAAACCATAGGTTTTTCAAGATTTTCACAAAATGCTACCAAACGGGCTTCGCGCGCGCGCATGTCGAAATCTGTCGAACGCCCTTGCGCGTGTGCCGTCGCGAGAATCCTCTGCAAAAAATGGGACGAAGTGCAGACGCGCGCGTCGTCGCGGGCGTATGCCGAAAACCTTCAAAACCCATCGGTTTCGGAAGGATTTCAAAATCGTGCGTCCAAAAAACCTACAAAAACCTAAGGTTTCGCAACACGGATTTTCAACAAAAGCGTGCGCGGGCGCTCTTGCGTCGTCGTCGTCGTCGTCGTCGTCGCCGTCCCCCTTCCTCCCGCGTCGTCGTCGTCGTCGTCGTCGCCTACGTCGTCCTCTGTCTTTTCTCGTGTTCGTCGTCGTCGTCCTCTTTGGCGTCGTGGTCGTTTCCGTCGTCGTTGTCGCCATGGTCGTCCGTCCTCCTCCTCCCACGTCGTCGTCGTCCGTCGTCGGCGTCTCGTCGTCGGTTCTATTTCGTCACCGTCGTCGTCGTCGTTGTCGTCGTCGTCTTCCCTCCTCCCTCGTCGTTGTCGTCGTCGGCGTCGCCGTCCTTCCTCCTTCGTCGTCGTTCGCGTCGTCGCCGTCCTCCCTCCTCCCTCGTCGTTGTCGTCGTTGTCGTCGTTGTCGCCGTCGTCGTCCCTCCTCCTCCCTCGTCGTCGCCTTCGTTGGCGTCGTCGTCGGCGTCGGCGTCGGCGTCGGCGTCGTTGTCGTCGTCGAAGTCGTCGGAGACGTCGTCGGTGTCGTCGTCGTCGTTTTCGTCGGTGTGGTCGTAGTCGGTCTTAAGAGGTTTTGCAAACCAAGTTGCGGGTGGGAGGGTGGGATGTTTGCGCGAGCAGTGGAGAGGACAGCTTCAAGTTGAGCAAGTGATTGATTACACCACGTAGATGGCACCACATAGCTTACGCCATACAGGTTGCACAACACAGCTTAAACAACACAGCTTGCAATTACTTACACTGCATCACCTGGTATGCTAGAATTCCTTGATTAAGGTCCACGCTGGCTAACATTCGTGTCTCTTTATTATTAAAGGATTGGGGGGCAAATCCTTGACTGGCAAGCCCACCGGGCGCTCGTCAACTAGGGGGGCGTTTTTTTACAGTGGAGGGGAAAACATGTAGGGATTGATTAGTGGAGGACTTACGACGGGAGGCTGCGTTGCACCATCGCTGACGCATCCTAGGTTTAAACTTGTTCTCTTCCTCCCCTTCCTCCTCCTCTTCCGCCTCCTCCTCTTCCTGAGTCCATGCTCTTGATGAACAACTCCCCCCTGTCGCACCCCCAGACGTGTCTGTAGGGCGGGCTGGGCGTTTCGCCTGAGACGTCAGAGCGGCGTACGATGTCAAAAACTGAATTCTGAAAAATATCTAAGGATGGAGGGCGGGTGGTCTTAATTGTGGCTCTCGCCGCAGCGCCGGGCACATTCGTTCTAAAAAAACGTATCCTCCTCAAGGATGCAGCACCGATGCTTTTCAAAATGCGATTTTCGCTCAAGCGCCACGGACATTCGTTTTAAAAATGTGCAACACATTCGTTTCAAAAGTTCGAAATACGTACAGGAATGGAGCACAGGTGGGTTTCAAAAGATGGTTCTCGCTTCAGTGCCGCGCACATTCGCCGCAAAAGCTTGCAACCGCTTCAAGGATTGAAATTCAAAGTTGGGATCTCGCCTCGGCGCAGCGCACATTCGTTTCCTGAGTATACTGTGCACAAGGCTGAGGGACGGAGATTTCAAAACGTGGTCATCGGTCGATACTGAGCGCGAAGCTTCAACACATGCAGCACTGCACGGGCCCAGGGCTGGTCTCATTCGAAATGGAAGTATCCGAGACCCTCTCGAAGGCCAGGGCCACACGTGCAAGCGTGCGCAATAGTTACACGGATGGGGGCCAGTGTTTTTGCTCCAAAAGGGAATATCGTTGGACACTTCGTTAAATTCCCTAGAATGTCTTGTCATCTTATCGCGCTCCTCGTTGTGTGCCAGAAGGGTGCAATGCAGTTTCTTTCCAAAGCGTGGCCCTCGACAAAATGCCCGTCCCAATTGCGCTGGTCTGTCAAGAGGGGCGCTTCACGCAGTCAAACTGACAGCTTTGAGCGACGTATGAGGAGGACAGTTGGGGCGACAGGGTACATTGCAACGTCGCTGACGCATCTTGGGCTTATTCTGCTCCGTCTCCTTCTCCTCTTCCTCCCTCCTCCCTCCTCGCCATCGCACCGCGGGGCTCGAGGGGTCGAACGCGAGAGAGAGCCTGCACGAGCTGGGGCTCGGCGCGGACTTCCGAAGCAATATGTAGAAGACACATCACATGGTGAATCGCCCTGCCAGCTGGTGCCACACGGAAATAGATTGTCCCCCGATGGCTTCAGGGACCTATCGAGGTCTTGAGGCCCTTCAGGAATTTCAAGTCTCGACGAAGGATGTGCCCAAGACTTCGAATGTCAAGAGTTCTGATCGCATGTGTCTATTGTATGCCCTTTTCCCTTGCATTTCTGGAGCAGGCGGCCGACGAGGCGGCGGCGGCCTTCGCGGAGCCGCCGCGGGAGCTGCAGGCGGCCACCCCTCCAGTGGCCAGGAAGCTGGCGCACCTCCTGCAGCCCGGGCGCAGGGGCTGAGCGCCAGCGGTAACGGCGGCCTTTGGGCCACCTGCTCCAGGCCCTCACTGTCGCCGCCGCTGTCATCGTGACAATGTGGCTCCCCAGACCTCCGACGATGGTGTTTTTCAACAGAGGACTTTTCCTAGACTTTGGCCTTTAGGGGCCCGTTCTCGGGCCCCGGGGCCATCAGCAATGGATCTGGGCGAAATTGAACCTGGAGAAGGGGTCGTGAGCACTGAGGCCGCGGACTGGAAAAAAACACATCAGTTGATGCGGAAAAGAATAATACCAGTGGATGTCTGGGTCCTCGTCCTCCTGCGTCTTCTCCGTTCTCGTCCTCTTCCTCGACTCTTCCCCCTCCTCCCTCATACTTCTGATGCTGACACTGACCGACGTCGTCTGGTCTAACCAGGGCGGCGTGTCTTTGAGCGCCCCTGGACGCAGTGTCCAGGTGCCAGGTTCGTTGCGGGGGGGGGGGGGGGCGACGGAAGAGGTCGACACGAGCACGCGAGGGACAGGGCACATATTATTCCTCCCTCCCCCTCCCTACTCTTCATCCTCCTCGTCCCTTAATATCGTCCTCCTCCTACTTTTTACGCTAGCCTGATCTACGACCGCAGGGTCGAAGTGTGTACTTTCTCCTTGCTTCCCCCCTCCCACCTCTCCTCCTACTTTTTATCCGTCTCTTCCTCCTCAATCCGTCTTCCTTAGAAATAATCCTCCCCGTCCCGTCGCACCACCAGACTCGCCGGTAGAGCGGTAGAGCGGACCAGGTGTTTCGCCAGAGATTTCTTAACCGTTTACAGTCTTGAAATTTGTATTCTCCAAAAGCTACACGGATGGCTCTCGTTTAAGCGCCTGGTTCTTTCGTTTGAAAGGTTCCAGCACCAATGGCGTTGGAAGGGGTGAGTCTCAAAGTGCGGGTCTCGCCTTAGCGCCGCGTGCAGTTGTGGGTAGTATGCCAGTGTACCGGGGGCCCAGGGCCCTGGGCTAGCACACCTTCCCGGATTTCCGCGTCCCTTTCCGGTAATTAGCCCATTTTGTATTTGGGCGTCCAGGAGCTCTTGTGAGGCCTTGAGGGGACCATGTCGGCCTCTAGAGACTTCCTTCCTAACTGGTTCAGGGAGCAACTCACTCCTCCCACGGGGCCCCTGGGCTACCCCAGGAGGCTTCCAGAGCTTCGCAGAAGCTCTTTGACTGTTCCAAGAAGATCCCAACGTAGTTTTCTTGTAGCTTGCGAGGACGCCCCTGAGGGCCCCAACTCGTAAGAAGAGTGTCTTATGTGTTTCGCTTTCTCGCGTTTCCGCTTCCGATGGGATTTCCAAGCCTCAAGATTAATCCAGGATCGCCCCGCGCGGGCCCAAGCCCGAGAGGCTCCCGAGACGTTTGTAGGACGGCCCAAGGTGCTCCCTAGAGGCTCCCAGGAGACCCCCAGAGTTTCCCCAGAACGCTTTCAGAGGCCCCAAGAGAGCCCCAGCAGGACCCCAGGATGCCCGCGGAACCGCCTGAAGATCCCCAAGAAGCCCTCGAGACGCCCCAAGAAGCCCCCCAGAGGCCCAAAAGAAGCCCCAAGAGGCAGCAAACGGCCCTTGAGGAGCCCCACTAAGCATCAAAATTGCCTCCAAGAGGCTCTCTGCAAATTTTCGAAGAGATCCCAACAAGCATCCAATATGCTTCTGACCCACAACCCCAGTACGGTGGCGGCTTCACCCGTCCTTTTTACTTGGCCCCAGGCCATCCCCAATCGAGCCACACGAGGACCCCAAGTGAAGATCAAGATGGCCGCGACCAATTCAAACCACTAATGGTCAACGCTCCAGAAAGACCAATTCAACCACGGCAGCGCGCTGCAGTGCAGCAGGCGGGTTCTCACGGCCGTGCGTTAAAAGGCATGTGCTTCGTACGGCCGTGCGTTGCGAAAGCAGACGGTGGTCTCTTTCTTTCTGTCAAGATGGCTGGTTAGTTGATTGGTTGCGTTCGGGAGCGCGCTGGAGGGCTCCGCTGCCATGTTGTTCTCCGTTGGTTGGTTGGTTGATTGGTCGCCGCGTGCGCTGGGTCGGCTCCGCGCGACGACGACGCATGGGAGTGACGCACTTGTCCTGCGCGCGTGGCTGTGCACAGGAGGTGTGCCGCAGAGACGCGTCCATGCCTGGTTGGGCCGTGCTGCTGTAAGGCCCCTGCCCCTATGACGCCATCCGCATGTTTGGGTGGTGCACTCAGGCCGCGGGGGGGGGATAGGGGGCGAGTGGGGTCGCTGCTTGTCCCTAAAACAGCGCCTCGGTTGGGCACGCCTTTCCCGCCAGGGGTTCTCGTCGGATAGTGCCGCCGCTCCTCGTCGCCACGTCTCTGTCGTCCGTTCGTTGCCATCTCGGCTCGAGCCTTGCGCGTCAAGGCTTTGCCGCGAGTGTTTTGGTGGGCTTGCTGCGCGCTGGCATGCGCTCAGCGTCGCGCTAGCCGGGAGTGGGGGCGAGGAACGAGAAGCGTGGCTTTTGGCGGCGGGCCATTTTCGTGGCCCGTCGCCTGGCGATGGGGCGGGCTATTCGTGGCCCGTCCTGTCGCCCGCGACACCGCATCCCAGGGTGTCCCGAGGCGCCCCCTTAGCCGCAAGACGCGGTCAAGGGGGGGTGTCCAGGGGCGTCCAAGGTTGAAGCCGTGGTGTCCCGAGGCGCCCCAGCGGCTGCGAGACGCGGTGAGGGGGGGTGCCCAGGGGGCCCTCAAGGTTGAAGCAGTGGTGTTCTGGATGCCCGCGCGGCTGCAGGACGCGGTCAGGATGGGAGCGTCTGGGGAGTTGTGTTCGATTGTGTTTCTATCGCCGAATTCAAGGACCGCTCAAACTATACACAGACATATGTAAACATATCACGGGAGACCGGGTCTGGGGGCCGGGGGCCGGTGCCTCGACCTTTAATGTGGAGCCCGGGCGTCATTTTTCCTGTGTTTTTACAAGGTTTCGGCGACCCGGGGCCAACAGGGCCCCAAGAGGCTGCAGGGAGGCCCCAGGAGGCCGCAGCGATGGCTCCAGACGCCTTTCAAGACGATTCCCATGACGCCAAGAAGGCCCCCGACGTCCCCGAAGACGCCCCAAGAGGCACCCCGAGAGAGCCCCAATAAGCAAAAATCGTCGATTCCCGATTGGATAACTGATATGTTTGGCATGTTCGCCTTTTGTGCTTCCACTGCGTCCAAGACGGCCCAAGAGGCCCCCAAGACTGCCCCACAGGCTCCCAAGAGGGCTCCAAGACCCCAAGAGGGTCCCAAGTCGGCCCCAGAGACCCCCAAGACAGCCCAAGAGAGCCCCAGGACGAGCCCCAGAGGGGTCCCAGAGGTGCACAACCATATTCACATTCCGAGCTTTCGGCCCCAGAGGCTCCCAGGAGGCCCCAAGAGGTCCCCAGGAAGCCCCAAGAGGCCCCCCAGAGGCCACAAGAGGCCCCCAAGAGACGCCCAGGAGGCTCCCAAGAGGCACCCCAATAGAGCCCCAAATAAGCAAAACTTGTCGATTTCCGATAGGGAAACTTGTATTTTTGGCGTGTTCGCCTTGCGGGCTTCCACTGCGTCCAAGACGGCCCAAGAGGCACCCAAGCCGGTCGAGGATGCCCCCAAGAGGGCTCCAAGACGGCCCACGAGGGGGCCAAGACGACCCACGAGACGCCTAGTCCGCTCAACAACGCCCCAACCGAAGATGCGAGCCATTTAGCCCAAGAGGCCCCCAGGAGACCCCAAGAGGCTCCAAGAAGCGACCAAGAAGCCCCAAGAGGCCCCCAAGAGACCCGCAAAAAACACAAAAAGAGTCCCCGAACACGCCCCAAGGGGAACTCCAATAGAGCTCCAATAAGCAAAAATCGTCGATTCCCGATTGGAAAACTGATATTTTTGGCGTGTTCGCCTTTTGGGTTTCCACTGCGTCCAAGACGGCTCAAGAGGCCCCCAAGACAGCCCCACAGGCTCCCAAGAGGGCTCCAAGACGACCCCAAGAGGGTCCCAAGACGGCCCGAGAGGCCCCCAAGACATCACAAGAGAGCCCCAGGACGAGCCCCAGAGAGGTCCCAGAGGTGCACAACCATATTCAAATTCCGAGCTTTCGGCACCACAAATGTGGGGCCCGGCGCGCCAGGAGTCCTGCCGGAGTGCCGGGGGGCGTCCAAGATCACCCGAAGATGGCTCCGGAACGCTCGAAAACGCGCTCCGATGGCTCCGGATGCCTTTCAAGACGACTCCCATGACGCCAAGAAGGCCCCCGACGCCCCCGAAGACGCCCCAAGAGGCACCCCGAGAGAGTCCCAATAAGCAGAACCCGTCGATTTCTTTTAGAAAAACTAATGTTTTTGGCGTGTTCGCCTTTGGGGCTTCCACTGCGTCCAAGATGGCCCAAGAGGCACCCAAGCCTGTCGAGGATGCCCCCAGCAGGGCCCCAAGACGGCCCACGAGGGGGCCAAGACGGCCCACGAGGCGCCCAAACCGCCCAAGAGCGCCCCAAGGCGGCGCCCAAGACGGGGACGAAGAACCCGAAATTCGCGCCTTTTGACCCAAGAGACCCCCAGGAGACTCCAAGAAGCTCCAAGAAGCGCCCAAGAAGCCCCAAGAGGTCCCCAGGAGACCCGCAAAAAACACAAAAAGAGTCCCCGAACACGCCCCAAGGGGCACTCCAATAGAGCCCCAAATAAGCAAAAATCGTCGATTCCCGATTGGATAACTGATATGTTTGGCATGTTCGCCTTTCGAGCTTCCACTGCGTCCAAGACGGCCCAGGAGGCCCCCAAGACTGCCCCACAGGCTCCCAAGAGGACCCCAAGACGACCCCAAGAGGGTCCCAAGACGGCCCGAGAGGCCCCCAAGACAGCCCAAGAGAGCCCCAGGACGAGCCCCAGAGGGGTCCCAGAGGTGCACCGAAAATGCAAGCCATTTGGCCCAAGAGGCCCTCAGGAGACCCCAAGAGGCTCCAAGAAGCGACCAAGAAGCCCCAAGAGGTCCCCAAGAGACCCGCGAAAACACAAAAAGGGGCCCCGAACACGCCCCAAGAGGCACCCCAAGAGAGCCCCAATGAGCAAAAATCGTCGATTCCCAATAGGGAAACTGATACTTTTAGCATGTTCGCCTTTCGGGCTTCCACTGCGTCCAAGACGGCCCAAGAGGCACCCAAGCCAGTCGAGGAAACCCCCAACCACGAGGGTCCCAAGTCGGCCCCCGAGGCGCCCAAACCGCCCAAGAATGCCCCGAGTCGGCGCCTAAGACGGGGACGAGGAACCGAAAACGCGAGCCATTTGGCCCAAGAGGCCCCCAGGAGACCCCAAGAGGCACCAAGAAGCGCCCAAGAAGCCCCAAAAGGTCCCCAAGAGACCCGAAAAAACACAAAAAGAGACCCCGAACACGCCCAAAGGGGCACCCCAATAGAGCCCCAACGAGCAAAAATTGCCGATTCCCCATAGGGAAACTGATATTTTTGGCGTGTTCGCTTTGCGGGCTTCCATTGCGTCCAAGACGGCCCAAGAGGCACCCAAGCCGGTCGAGGATGCCCCCAAGAGGGCTCCAAGACGGCCCACGAGACGGCCCCCGAGGCGCCCAAACCGCCCAAGAATGCCCCGAGTCGGCGCCCAAGACGGAGACGAGGAACCGAAGATTCGAGCGTTTTGGCCCAAGAGGCCCCCAGGAGACCCCAAGAGGCTCCAAGAAGCGCCCAAGAAGCCCCAAGAGGCCCCAAAGAGACCCGAAAAAGTACCAAAAGAGGCTCCGAAACAGCCCCCCAATGGGCCCCCCAAAACGGCCCAAGAGAGCCCCTGGGCGCGCCCAAGACGGTTGACAAGAGAGCTGGTCCGCCTTTCCACACTCTACACAGGGTCCGTCCCTGGCGGTGCCTCAAGCGGATGTTGCCACTGGAGTCCTCACTTGCCTGAGACAAACTCCAAACATTTTTTCGCACAGCGATTCCTGTGTCTGTGACACGCTAGAACCTAAGCGCGCGCGAAGCGCGCGCCTGGTTCTTATATATGCATGTATGTGTATATATATACACATACACATACACCTACCTACCTATCTATCGACCTACCTACATACATACATACGTACATATACATACGTACATATACATACATACATACATACATACATACATACATACATACATACATGGATGCATGCATGCATGCATGCATACATACATATATATATATATACATACATACATACATACATACATACATACATACATACATACATACATACATATATACATGCATACATACATACATACATACATACATACATACATACATACATACATACATACACACATTAATAAATACCCCCCCCCCCGGCCCCGGGTCCCACACCTCCCCGCCACATCTCGGGGACCGCTCTCCCAGCCTTTCCGGGGAGCCTCCACAGCGCTCCAGGAGGGCCCAAGACGCCCCCCAGGAGCCCCCAGAATGCGAAAGGATGGCCCAAGACGCTCCCAAGCAGCCCAAGTCAGCCTTCCGACGGCTCTCGAGGCTCCCAAGTGGCCTCCAAGAGACCCCACGAGAGGTCTGATAGGAGGTCTGATAGGTGTCACGGGACGGCCCGAAGAGGCCAAAGTCGTAGATTTTCATTGGTTGTTTAAAATGTTTTTGGCTTCTCGTGTTTTCGAGCTTCCAACGGTCCAAGAGCGCCGAAGAGCCTCCCAAGACCGCCCCAAGACCACCCAAGAGACCCTCAGGACGGCCCCAAGACGGGCCAAGAAGGCCCGAAGACTGCCGAAGAGGCGCCCAGCACAGCCCCAGACCACCCCAGAACAGGCCCAAGATGGGCCCAAGAGCGGGAGCAGGAGGCTTCCAGAGACCTCCGAGAGGCTTCCAGGACCCCCCAGAGGCCCCCAACACACCCCCGATCCCTGAGAGGCCCCAAGGAGACCCCGACGAGGCTCCAAGAACAGCCCAAGAGAGCTGCGAGAGCCGTCCCGAGAGAGCCCAAAAAGGGTAAAATCGTTGATTTCCAATGCTTTTTTCAATGTTTTTCGCCTTCTCACGTTTTCCCGCTTCCAACCCTCAAACATCGAGGATTTGGAGGGGAAAAAAAGGGCATTCCAAGAATTGTTTTGTCATCAAAGTGGAACTCCTACTCGGGGGTCCTACACATGCCCGGACATCTGGCCGGTACCGCGCCTCCCGGCTTCTTAACGGTTTCGCGGGGTCTCCGAAGGCCCCAAGGAATCCGGGAATTTTGGATTTGGGTTAAATGCTCATCCATTCATGACTCAGGACAGAAATTCATGCGCGAACCAAGCACGTCCATCTCTCGTTCAAGTGCCGTGGAGGAGAAGTAATGCTGGGGTATTTAATTGCATGGCGCTGCAGCCCAGGGTAGCAGCGCCTTTCACGCAGCAGTATCCAGCGAGCTGCAGCCCAAGGTAGCAGCTCATGTACAGCGCTGGCCGCTGCATCGCAGGCACTCTCTACTCAGAGCAAGCGAGAGAAGATGCCCGCGACAGAGCTATCATAGAGAAACAACATGGCGGGTGGACGGACGACGGACGTCGGACGACGGAAGAAGACGACGGGACCGCCCATGGGGGAGAGGACCTGGGGTGGCCCTGGGGTGGCCCACTTTTCCCAGACTCCCCCCGTCGCAACCCAAGTTGCCCCCTCTTGGCTCCGGGATCCGCTTTGGGGTCTTTGGGTGATTCTTTCGGCTTGAGGGTTCCGAGCTGGTTCAGGAGGACGCCCGCTGGCCGCCAAGACGCTCCAAGATGTATCAAGGCGGCCCCCAGGGGCCACAAGATGCCCCAGTGGAACTCCCAAAGGCCCTCCCACATGACCCCAGAGAGCCACGAAGATCGCGGATTTTAAAAACAACAACAACAAACACAAAAAAATGAATTCCCAGATTTCCTTTTTTTTTCAAAGTGGGACTCCTAGTCGGGGGTCCCACACATCCCCTGACATCTGGCCGGTATCGCGCCTCCCGGCTTCCCGGGGGAAGACCCCAAGACGCCGAAGGACAGCCCATGACGACCTCAAGGAGCCCGCAGAACGTAAAGAACGGCCCAACACGCTCCCGCGCAGCCCGAGACACCCTTCCGGCGGCTCTCCAGGCCTCCAGGAGGCCTCCAGAAGCTCCAGGGGGTCCGGAAGATCCCACACCCTTGAGCGGCCCAGCTAACAAAACCCGCGAGGCACAAACAAAAAACAGCGCCGAACAGCGCCGAGAAACTGGGAAAACCTGGAAATCCCACAATTCCCTCTTTTTGTTTCAAGTTTGGCCCCTGGTCTACTCTTGCACAACAGACCACAATTCAGACCCCCTCACCTTCCAAAAAAGAACCCAGGAAGCCTTTGAGGGCCCCAAATCGTTGAATACCTAAAGGAAATTAATGATTTCTGCGTTTCCGCTCTTCCCCTTCTATACGATTCCGAGGCTTGAGCAGGGCCTCCAAGGGAGTCCCTGGACGCAAGAAGCGACCAAACTGAGATTACATGAGTTAACTTATCAAGCCTAATAAGCTAGAACTTGAGCGCGCGCGAAGCGCGCGATGGTTCTAGTAGAAGTATATGCTGGCGTCGTTGTCTCGCCGAGGTCCAGGGTGGGCTCGAACAAGTTCCACGGAGGCCCCAAAAAGCATTCGACGCAATTCATTCGACTCCCTTCGGGCTTGCATGCGTAATTGAACCACCATCAAGTTACAGCCTTGAGTCATACGCTGCCTGAGCAGTCCCATCAACAACCGCCGAAGCCGCTACAGTAACATAATTTCGCCTTCCTCCCAGGTCGTTTCATCCATCCAGCGCAGCCCATGCACGATGGCACTTGGTCAAACGCTTCCGTAAGTCTGAAAACTTACAAATTTGCGCCTGCATCCTTACAGACATAATCACGTGTGCACCACGACACACCGCAGCATCACGCATGCATCGTTGGTTCATCCACCCCGTTAAGTGACGACTGCAACATACATCAGCTCGCCTGTGCAGTTTCAGGCGCACGCCGGGAAATTTGCGCCAACCTTTGCCCGCCAGTGCACGGATTGCCACATCGCTGTTCCACCTGATGCATTGCAACTGCGCGCGTGAATGATTGCAATATCACGAGCGGCGCATTCTTTCGCCACGCCACCGACATACACGTCATTGCACTGGTGCGTTTGAAACAAAACGCTTGGGCACTCACATAAATAGCAGCCTGAACCACCGCTTGAACTTAACATTTGGCTATCTCATGATACCGGAGAAAAACCCAATCCTAATATTTTTGGGCTGTAGACTATAGGGTTGTAGGACCATAGTGTTATAGGTCTATAGGGCTATAAGGCTATAGGGCTATATGGGTATCGGCAAATAGACCTATTGGGCTATATGGTTATAAGGCTATAAGGCTATAGGGCGATTGGGCTATAGGGCTAGAGGGTTATAGGGCTACAAGGCTATGAGGCTATAGGGCTATAAGGATATAGGGTTATTGGGCTATAGGGTTATAGGGCTATAGGGCTATAGGGCTATAGGGCAATAGGGCTATAGGGCTATAGGGCTGTAAGGCTATAAGGCTATAGGGCAATAGGGCTGCAGGGCTACCAGGCACTTGGCATCCGACCTGTCCTTTGCCGCATGCGGCACATCTCTTTTCTGCGGCTTCCGTACGAGACTTCCTCACATGCTCTTGAAGACTGCCGTTCGAGACTTCCTCGCATGCCTTCCACTCCACCATGCTTTTGGGCGGCAGCCACCGTTTTGAAAATATGAACTGGGACCTTCGGTGGAGCTCCCTATGGGACCACGGAACGCTGTATTGGGTGGGTGAAACGCAGGGAGCAAGGGCTGTGCTGGGTGGTGGCGGACGCATGCGAGCGGTGCAATTGAGACCTTCGGTGGGGCCCCTTATGGGGTCACGAAACGCTCTACTGGGTGGGTGAAACGCAAGGAGCAAGGGCTGTGCTGGGTGGTGGCGGACGCATGCGGGCGGTGCCACTGGGACCTTCGGTGGAGCTCCCTATGGAGCCACGAAGCGCTGCAATGGGTGGGCGAAACGCAGGGAGCAAGGGCTGTGCTGGGTGGTGGCGGACGGATGCGGGCGATGCCACTGGGACCTTCGGTGGAGCCCCCTTATGGGGCCACGAAACGCGGTACTGGGTGTCTAACTCTGCTATCCGGGTTTTTCCTGGCCAGCTCTTAAAGAGGGTTTTAGATAAGAAGCTGGAGGCTGGTGGTGCCCGCCAGCAGCTCCTCCAGGGCGGTCCAGAATCCCCGCAGGAGGTTGCTCGAGCCTCCAGCGTTTCCGGGCGCGTGGCTTCCTAGCTTTTCCCAATAGCAACGGCCGTGTTGGGTGGTGGCGGACGCATGCGGGCGGTGCCAATGGGACCTTCCGTGGAGCTCCCTATGGGGCCACGAAACGGTGTACTGAGTGGGTGAAACACAGGGAGCATGGGCTGTGCTTGGTGGTGGCGGACGCACGCGGGCGGTCCCACTGGGGGCTTCGGTGGAACTCCCTATGGGGCCACGAAACGGTGTGCTGGGAGGGTGAAACGCATGGAAGAAGGAGGAGGGAGGGGAGGAGGGGGAGGAGGCGGAGAGGAGGAACGCGGGGACCGTCTCTTCAAAACGAGGACTCAACACCACAGGATGGTTGGACAAATCAAAGAAAGTGAATGATTTGGGCCCTTTTCGGGCCTTCCTGGAGGACGTTTGGGCCGTCTTGGAAGCATCTTGCGGGCCGTCTGGGCAGTCTTATGCCATTTTGACACCATGTTGGGCAGTCCTGGGTGCATTTGGATGCCATCTTCGCTGTTTTGGAGGCCGCCTCGGCCGCCTTGGAGGCATCTTGAAGGTAACCTTGGCCGTTTTCGAGGCATCTCGAAGGTCACTTTGGCCGTCTGAAGGCCATGTTGACCCTTTTCGGGCCGTCCTGGAGGCCTCTTGCGGGCCTCTTGGGCCCTCTAAGGCCATGTTGAGGCCATGTGGGGCCGTCTTGGGTGCATGTTGGGGCCCTCTTCGCTGTCTTGGAGGTTTTTTTGGCCGTCTTGGAAGCATTTTGGAGGCCATCTTGGCCGTCTTGGAGGCCATTTTCGGCGTCTTCTGGGCCATCTTGGGCCACTTTGGGCTCTTATTGGGGCCCTTTGGGGGGCCTCTTGGGTTGTTATGGGGCCATCTTGGAGGCCTCTTGGGCGTTTTTGGGACGATGGTGGGGGCCTCTTGGGCTGTCGCAGAGCTGCTAAGAAGAAAATGCAACAATATTTCGAAAACCCATGGGAAATTAATGATGTTTGCCCTTTTCGGGCCTTCCTGTAAGGCGTCTTGGAGGCCTCTTGGGGACCTTTTGGTCAGTCTGAGGCCATCTTGGAACCATCTTGGGCCGTCTTGAAGGTGGAGGCTTCTTAAACGAACGTGAAGGCATCTTGGACTCTCGGGCCGTCTTGGAAGCCATCTTGGCCCATCTCTGGCGACTTGGAAGCCATCTTGGAGGCCCTCTTGGGCCAACGTGACCATCTTGGAGGCCATCTTGAGCCGTCTTGGGGAATTTGTTCTGGTCGCTGAGGTGGTTTACGCTGCCTTGAGCGGCCTTTCGGGTGGCCGGCGGGACAGGCCGAAGCCCCAGGGGGAGTTTTTTGGGAAAAAGAGCAAAATCCAAAAACGAAAGGATTTAGCACGCTGGGCACCCCTGTGGAAAGCCAACAGGAGGCGGCAGCTGTAGTGGTTTTCGGCCCATCCTGCCACCTGCATGGGATGGTCTGAGATAGTTTGGATGTTCGCTGGGATCTCTTGGGGACCTTTCGGGAGCCTCTTGAAGGTAGTTCTGGGTGGCCTGAGGCCGCTCTGGGGCCTGTAAGGGGCATCTCTTTGGTATGCCGGGGGGCCTCCTGAATCTTTTTGCAGCCCCAATTGGACCTTTTTGAAAGTTCCGTGACGGGCGGTGTCGAGGTCAACGTTGGCACAACAGGACTGCAGGGCCCCACTGTGATACCACCGACGGAGCCCGATAGTTTGATGATGCCTCGACCGGAACGGCATTGTTTAGCTGATGGAAAAGTTCACGCGTCAGGCCCCGAGAGCGCCCGAAACTCGTGGTTGTGGGCTGGGTTGAGGGTGGGCGGTGAGTGGGGGCGTTCGACCCCCCCCCCCCTTGAATCAAGGGGGAGGACCATTCTCCCCTTGAATCAGGGAGGAGGAGGGGAGAGGGAGGGAGGGGGGGATGTCTGGGGGGTGCCCCCCGGTTCTGACGTGTCGTGGGAAGTTCCCAAGGCAAGCGTTTGTGAAACGCAATCCCCCCCAGGTCATATTCATTCAATAACATGCGCTATTCTCGCCTGTCTGATTTTCTAGGTCACGAACGTGCTGCAGTGCCATCGGGTTCTCACCGTTCAGTTTTCCGAGGTCACCCCCAGATCACACATGTGTGCCAGGGCCATCGGGTCCTCAGCAGTTCACACTTCTGGTGTCACGAGCGTGTGGCAGGCCCATCGGCTCCTCACCACGTTAGTTTATCCAGATCACAAGCGCGTGGCAGGACCATCGTACTCTCACCATTCAGCCC